GTGAATTGGCATGCGCAACACGTGGCCGAGCCATTTGAGTCTAGTGCGTGAAATGACGGTACTGAGCGGTTCAGTTCCTTTTCCTGTGCTGTAAACAAGGCGCCGAACACGCTCGTCACTCAAGCAGTGTTCCCACCAGATGTGAGCTAAATTGCCAAGGCACCGATGGTCGGACGTAACTAGCCACTTCAGGTCCGCTGCTTTAAGCGGCCAGGTTTCACAACCCTACAGTAGGGTCGAACGTACCGATGCATCGTACATTCTACCCTTCAGGGTGAGAGTGATGTCGCGTCGGCGCTATAAGTGCCGAAAGTTAGCGAAAGCGTCCCGAGCTTTTGTTATACGGTTCGTGATCTCATCTTCAATCCCAAGGGCGCTGATACAACTTCCCAGATGGTTGAATTTCTGAACGACTTCTAGATGATCCCCACCAACGGTCAGCGTAGGAGGCGATCCCCGCCAATCTTGGAGGAACACTTTGCACTTTGAGGGTGCGAAGCAAAGCCCGAACTGACAGATAGCCGGTGTTAACTTGTCCAGCGCGGCTTGGCACGTCTGGGAACTGTCACAGGTGTGGGCAATGTCGTCTGCATACTTCAAGTCAAGAAGTCCTTCTCCTGGGAGTAGCTCCAAACTTTCTATATTCTCTCCTGCAAATGCAGTCTCCATGACTTCGTCAATAGCGAACCTCAAGACGAAAGGTGACAACGGGCATCTTTTTCTCACACTGCTGGAGATATTGAAGGTCGGCGACATATTGCCGTAAGCTCTCACTCTACTCTTGCTACGCGCGTATAATGCTCGGATAATATTTACATATTTTTCGGGCACACCTTACCTGAGTAGACAGTTTCAAAGGGCACATCGATCAATCGAATCGAAGACACCTTTGATGTCGAGGAACACGACTACGCTGGGCCGCCAATATGTGTGTCGGTGCTCCAACAACTGACGCAAGGTGAAAATGTGGTCGATGCATCCACGACCCCGACGAAACCCGGCTTGCTCCTCACTACTCTGGCTTTCTCGAGCACCAGTCAGTCTGTGAAGGAATACGGAGGCAAGTAATTTGGAGAAGATGGAGGGAAGATTGATTCCTCTATGGTTGCCGCATTTCGAACGCGATCCTCCTTTGAAGATGGGAACAATAACGGAGCGGCTCCAGTCGGTTGGGACGGTTTCCTGCTTCCACATTTTTACTACTAATTCATGTACTTGATCAACAAGAACAGAGCCCACGAATTTGAAGAGAGCTGGAGGAAGATCATCTGGTCACGCGGCTTTGTTCAACTTCAACTGTCCGATCTCACGTTCGACTTCTGAGCAAGAGGGTGGATCCAAAGGGACAGCCCACGGAGCAGGGCGATCACTGACCGGTGAGGAATCGAACAATTCCGGCCGATTAAATTGCTTTTGAAAATGCTCAGCCCAACGCTCCAAACGTTTTGACAAGTTGTGGATAGGCTGTCCACTCTCATCACGAATTGTTTCACTAACACCAAGTCTCCTTTTGCTTGTTTCCCGGATCAGACGGAATAACTTACGATGGTTGCCAAGGGCAACGGCCGCTTCCATCTCTGACGCATGATGAGACCACGAAGATTCGCGGTCTCTCTTCAGTCTAGCGCGGAGTTTTGCCCGGAGCTCTTTGCGAGTTTCATTGTGTTCGCTTCCAGCCGGGATATGCCGGCGAGCGTCTATAAGTTCCAGAGACTGCAAAGGGACTCAATGTCCATGTTGGCTTTTAGACATACCACATGAGGATTTGCCTGCTGCTACTAAGGCCTGGTGAACATGCGACCAGTGACCATCAATTGTCTCCAATGAGCGATTACTCAACTCGCATGTCAGCGTACTTTGATAGGAATTCAGAACAGGTGGTTTTGTCATTTAGCCGTTGTCAATGCGCTCACATCGTCGTCGTGGGCGTCCTCCAAAACGCATCCGCATGTCAGCACATACAAGTGCATGCTTGGTGTCTACACATATGCTCCAAATCGAGCGACAATTCTGGATGCAGTCTCTCCAGCGGTAACTGATTGCAATGTGATCAATTTGCGTCCAAGGCTGATGGGCGCCAAGTCACCCTCCGGCGTTTGCTGTGTCGGTAGTTCGTGCTCACACGAAATAAGCGGGCATCTTCAGACTAATGAAATACCTGCTTACCGTTATCATTACTGGAGCCTACTCCGTCCTGACCACCCAGATGTATTTCATCAGTGGACAACTTTCCAACTTGTGCGTTCATATCCCCCGCCAGCACAACAGTGTCTGTGCTTCTTCTGTGGCGAAGGAGCTGGGTCAGTTGGCGGTAGAAGTCGTTCTTTACCGAATCATCGCTACAGTTTATGGGCGCGTAGGCAGCAATGATGAACCGATACCTATAAGTCCCGCGCGACTTCGAAGCTTTGAACGAGCCATCCAATCGGACCGCACACATTCGGCTACTGATTGGAATCCAATCAACCAGAGCAGCTTCAGCCCGGGAACTCAGGGCAATGCCAACACCAGCTTGGCCGGTGCTCGAAGCTGCATCGTCACTGGATAGGCGCAATGAGAAAACACTGCTTGCGTCACCTGAAGGAGATCGCAGAGTGAACACAGAGCTCGAGTCTTGCAGACGAGTCTTCGATAAGTAGCAGATATCGATCGAGAGGGTCTCCAATGTTCGGGCAAGTGCCGCCTGTTGACCGATCTGAAGCAATGTGCGTACATTGCGGCATGTCAGTCTGAAGGAGAATCGAGGGCTCCAAATGAAAGCGGATGAATTGGAGTGAACCGCTTGGTTGGACATGGGCTTGTCGACAGGACATGAATGACGTTTCACTTTAGCATGTGAGTTGAAACTAGAAGATAAACGCCTAGCAAAGCATGTTTGGGGAGAGCCAAGAATCGGGGGGTTGAAAACGGGGGGATAAAAGTGGAGTTGGAACGGGACCATTAGGGAGAAAAAGCGTAAGAGGGAGAATAAGAAGACAGGAAGGCTTGAGAAGTAGCATCCAAACCCCTATCCACCCTGCTCGATGCAGCAAATAGGGCACCATTGATTATCCTCTGCAGTGGCCAGAGCATCAGGAATTTGTTTGAAGTGTGATTCATTGTATTGCGTGGGCATGATACTGTCAGGTTGCCCAGGCCTGGACAGGAGAACGATTAGGGTCAGAATCAAGAGTAATGCGGAACACACTTCTCTGTGAGCACCAATGAGCCCATCGCTTTGGTCCATTGGCACTCGTAAACCTGTATCGGTCGACAACTATCATCTTCTTGGATGGATTACTAGTCAATGTAGACCAGGTATTGATATGCATTTTCTGGGTGCGTCTTAGCTGCCATCTTTTTAGGGGAATCCTTGCAACGACCTTCGTGCCCATGTGCGCACAACAAGCTGTTCCTTCTTTGATTTCTGCTGCTTCTATGCTGCTGTTCTTCTGACGGCTTTTCAAAACAACAGATTTCGGTGTATCGGATGCTTCTCTTGTATAAATCAGCCGCATGCGGGACCACTCCATCGGTACGTCACACTGGAAAAACGAAGATCGACTTATTTATTACTTCTCATTATCTCGTTGTTTTTCTCCGAATGTTCAACCTGAGAGAATTTCCTACCCTTGTTTATTTACACGCGCTCTTGATGGTTACATGAGAGTCACTTCTACTTTTGCTGCTAGGCATAGACTGCTTACAAGCTACCATTGTCTCACACTTGTTCTAGAACTTTCTAAGGTGGCCATTCATGCATTGCGGCAGTTCTTTCCACCTTTACTGCCCCCTATAGTCAAAACACGCCTGCACATGCGCATGATCACAGTTAACTGATGTAATACTAATAGACTGAAGTTGGAAAGTACGTGTTTAACAACTACGACTTTCTTTGTTGGCTTGCATGTCCCCAACACATATATCCCAAATGGATGAGTGGGCCCGCTTGACAACGCCCTACGTTCACAACGATCCCATGGAGCTAGCTTGGCTAAGAACCACGACAACGTACTCATCTGATCCCGAATATGTCCGCTATTGGGGTCTGTACTTTTTTCATTCTGAAAATCATGTGTTCCTGACGCATTCTCTGTACACATAGTCAGCGCCAGCTATCATCATCGATCACCTGGAACCCGCATTCGAGGCTGCTTTGATGTTTGATTTAACTTGAGAAGATTTTCTTCCCGACCAGTTAGCGGTCAGATAACCTGCAGCACACCCGAAGAACCGCAGATAGTGATACTTGGGGTCTGTTTATACTCAGTTGTCATTGAGCATAAGATCCCTACGCCCGTGTAGTGCTGTTCTTGATGAAGATGCCAGAAATGTTCATACGTTTACTAAATGTGGTGTTAGACTTCTTTCTTAACTGCTGAAATATAGGCGGTTGCTTGGGGTTTGCACTATTCATGTTGTTGTTGTTGTCCATCCTGTGCTAGTGGGAACCTTTTTATGTTGTATTGATTCTAAATTGTGGAACCCGAATTTATTAGTGCTACAGATTCACAACCCAAAAGCGTGGTCATTTTTCCCTTATACTAGCCTGAGGGTGCTGCGATCGGAGTATTAGCGATGCGCTGTAACCTTGTACCGATGCTTTCGCTATAATGATGCCATCATCATTAGTATGCTATATCGCCTATTTCTTCGCAGACTCGAACCGGACAGTCGTGAAATACAAACCATCATCATCATCATCATCATCATCATCATCATTACACGCTCGATCCACTCCACGATTCAATGGGTCACTGCTCACTGTGGTACGCGATGCCGGTTACCTCAAGCTAATCAGCCTATTCGCACCTGTTGCCCATATCTAGTCGAGCCCTGACATATCACCTAACTTCTCAATGTTTCCTTCGTGGTTATATATTCTGTCCTTTGACTTTGGGGTCACAGTGTATTGGATTGATTTTGTTTTCAGGCTTGTCTTTCACCACCTTACTGCAAACACACCGCCCTCGGAGGTGCTTTTTTGACCCAACTGTCATACCATCCATTTGCTATTTCAGGTGGAGCAGCGTCGATGGCGGGTTGATATCAATTCAGCCCTACTAGGCAACTTAGCTCTGGCAAATGTCAAACTCCCCGGTGGTGAGTTGCGGCGCAAATCCGAAGACGATGAGCGCGCAATGCGTTCGTTCATGAAGGTATATTACCCCCTCTGGCTATCGTGTTTTGTGCGCATTTATTGCTTTGGTAAAATTGCCGTAGCGTCACAGGTCATACACTTAGTTTCCTGTTTTGTGTATTTTGGGGTCTACCATCGTTTCATCTTAGTGAGGTTGGAGGCCTCATTTCCATGCTTTAGCAATGGTGACTATAGTATTATTGTAATATCTGGCTATTTAATTAATCCTACTTCTGAATGCTAGGCGCGTGTTCGAGCCTGCATAGGAGCCCTGGCGACCGTCGCAGTATCATTAGCCCACTCGCCACTGTTGGTGATTGCGCAGCAATGAAGCGTCAGTACAGCGTACCGGCGTACTGCTGATACCTTTACTTCTCTAAATATATACCGAGTCGTGCAGTATGAGGCGGCTGAATAAATTGAACGCACCTAGCGTACACAATGCCCTCAATCTTTCTCTCTGCGGTATGACAGTTACCGATAGTATCAAGAACTTTTATCATATTCATCCCAGTAGTTCACAAGCTTCAAACATAAACTTCATCCTGCATCGGCCGTCGCGCAGGTTATCGAGTGTCACCCTTTCTGCTGCATACAGCAGGGCGGATAAGTGAAACCATACTGATGCTGGCGCCTCCCTTCTTTCTTTTCCACCTGTTTTTCTTGCTCCCATTCCGACCCTCATTACTAATTCTATAATTCCCAGCTTAATTGACAGCAACCGAAGTGCCACTGGAGTGGAACCATCTGCAGCCACCTTCCCACAACACCTATCAGACGCCTATCGTCAAAAGTTCCTTATAAAGCCACGCTGTCCCGTTTCCCTGGCGACGCTCAACCTTCACACTCCTGACGAACAGGTCAACAGACTGCACTCGCACGCACCTTGGACACACTGGGTATTGATGTGTTGTGTGTCCGAAACTAAGATCAATGACCCTAACGGGGTTGTTGAATTAACTGCACTCGGCTTATCCTCTCGTTATTGGTTACAAGCATCCGGAGATGCCGATGCAGCACTCACGGGTCAAGCTAGTGTAGGTCTCATTCTATGCCCCCAAAGCTTAGCCATCGTTGGTTGGTTGGATTTCGGTGAACAGCCGTTTATGTGCAGCCCATTTGATGACATCAACTAAGATGGATTCACAAAGTAATGCTAAACGCTGTTTATTTGTGCTTTCCGCTTATGCTCCCACCGAGTGCAGTTCCAATGTCGTCAAGGGCACATTATATATCGAACTGAACGCCCTACTACGCAGTGCTACTAGTACAGATATTATTTATTTATTTATAGTACATACAGGGGTATGAACGCACAAGTAGGGCGTCTGAGCTCTTAGGAAGCTCAGCTGGGTGGTAATTATAGGCTTAACTTCGAACTGACTGACAACGGCGAGCGTCTGCTGCAGCTGTGTGCGGAGCACCAGTTGTTTCTTAGTAGCACTGCTGTTAGACACCGTGAGCGCCGAAGTGCCACTTGGCGTTCTCCTGTAGCTGGCCAGCGATGGACCCAAATTGACCACATGACCATAAGTTACAGGTGGCGTCGTTCCATCCTGAATTGCCGCTCGTACTGGAGTACCTGCGTCGACCCTGACCATTCCTTGGTACGCTGTCTTTTCCCCATGAACTTTACCGAGAGGCGTACGAAGCGTCTCCTCCGAATGGTAAGCCTATCAAGACGCACTGCGTACCGAACTTTCGCTGTCTTGTTCTAATGACACTGAGTTTCAATGGAATAGGATCTATGCCGCCATGCACGACGCAGAAGCATCTGCTTGTGGTACTATCCATTGTCACCGCACCAGTCACTGGATATCCGACAGGCCGGTGAACCTGTTGGAAACTGGAAGACACCTTCCGGCTGGCTCTGAACACCATGTGACCAGACGGGCTATTAGGGACGAACTAAAGCGGAGTCTACGTGCTGACGAGGAAGCCTGATGGACCAGCAGGGCTCAAGAAATGGAGGAGGCAGGAGCAGTAGGCAATTACCGCAAGCTCTTCCAGCTGATCCGCGCCACAGGTCCTAAGAAACCAGGCGTCAGTGGTACAATCAGCGACAGCGCGGGTGCACTGATACACAATAAGGATCGCCGTATGGCTCGTTGGACGGAACACTTTCAAGATCAGTTCAGCTGACTCCCTGCTCCCGGACCTCTTTCTACTCAGGTGATGCAGGACGAGCCATGGGCAGTTATTTTAGAGCCTCCTTCGGAAGACGAGATCCGAAATGCGATCACCGCCCTCAGTCGTTTTCGTGCCGCTGGCCCGGATTCCCTCCCGCCTGCACTATTTAAGGATGGAGGTGATGCCCTCTGCGAACCACTGACCTCCCTATTCGAACGTATCTGGAACGAAGAGAGTGTGCCGGCTAATTGGAGCGAATCGATTATAGTGGTAATATACAAAAAGGGCATTCGCACATTCTGTGCTAACCAATTGTGACAAAATTGCTGGCCTCGATTCTTGTTCGTCGCCTCACTGCGGAACGAGAATCTCGAATTAGGGAAGAGCAGCCCGGTTTCCGCCCAGGACGTGGCTGTGTAGACTATATATTCGCTTTGTGGCAGGTGCTGGCGCAACGCCACGCATACCGCATGTCCGGGAGAAAGTAAGAATTGCCTTCGAAATTCACTATTTTACCGTTTAATCGAGTATCGCATCGATTTCGAACGTTCCGGAATGTTCTACTTCTGCATGTGATTAAAAACCTCCTGACACCTCGGCAAAAGATATGGGGAACCACTAACCTTGGTCGTTGACCTTCCGATTCTAGAAGTCGAAGGTCAGTACGAGACCTATAAATACAGTCAAGGTCCGCAGCAGTTGCATAGTGTTCGTTGGCGGCGATTAATACGTTATTTTGTCAAGGTCATTGGCGTTTCGCTTTTTTCCTTCGGTTGGGCTAGAAGTTTTGTGGAGCAGTAAATTGTTATTTTTGGAATTGCGTCTAGTGAGAAGATTATAACACCGCAGACCAACAATAGCTGTGTTCCTCGACTTCAATAATGCGTTCCATTCGATGTGTTCTATTCGAGATATTGCGCGGAAAGTTGTTCCCACGAAATATGTGAACATCCTACGTGCTATATACTCGATCACTACAGGCCGCGTCAACGTCTACGGTGGCCTATCAGATGGCCTTCCGACAACAAGTGGCTTTCGTCATGGTTGTCCGATTTCTCAATTTCGTCGTGGATTCAATCATGGAGTGTTCCCTTGTAGAATCTCACGATGTAGGCCTTAAAGTGCTGCCTGGTGAAAGGTTAATTGATCTTGATTATACGGACATCGTCTTGCCTTTCGTTGATGTTGCGGCGACACAATCAACCCTGAATAGCCTGTCTGGAGTGGTCCCATTATATGGTATGCACTTCGCACCTTCAGAGTGCAAAGTGTTACAAGCTAACTGGGATATAGCACCACCTATTTTTCACCGTCTCCGAGAGTGACTCTCCTGCGAAGTGATGACGTCCTCTCGCTGGACGCATTTGAAACTAGTAGAGGCTATTTATTTATTGGAAATTACATAGCTTAATCAACTTCCCCCATGGCTCAGTGGCTTAAGCTGCTGGCTAGTTGGCATCTGCCTCTAGCGGTCATGGGTTCGATCCCCAGTAGGGGACCGAGAGCGTGCGCACCACTGACGAGCCCCAATAGGGCGAAGTGCGTCTGGTGCTTTTCCTGACTAGGCTGTGCTATGTAGCTTGTGAACTACTGAGATGAATATCTTAAAACTTGCAACTAAAATCGTGCTACTCTAGAGTAGTATTCAGAACCTTTATCTATTTGCTCTGATTACGACAAAAGTGTCAACCATTCATATTTATGATATACAGCATTGTGTTGTGTTTTGCTTGTTTTTCTGATCATTCCTTATCTCCCCGCTTAATAATAATAATAATACTAACATTTGGTGTAGTTTTCTTTACACGCGAAGTTGCGTCCATATTTGGCACAGATCAAATATGTGCAGGTAGTACCACGCTCTTTCATGGGCATTATGAATTTGTGGCGAATGAAATACAGGTTTATCTCCTCGGTGCGAGATACAGTCCAACTGGATATTACTATTCTTGCTGTACGGCAGAATCGCAAGAAGCAGATGTTATATTTTTGTATTTTCCAAAGCATTGCTCAAGCTTTTTGGCGTGCCTGACTAATTAGCCATTTAAATCTTTCTGGAGGATTGTAAGATTTTACAAGATCAAAAGTTTGGATAGCTAAAACGTATGGCGGCCATTACTGGGACCACCTCCTGAAGATCTTCCATGCGGATTATTCTCTCGATGGATTCCACTCGCACTTCCATGCCCCATCTGGCCGTGTGCCGGTGTGGCTTTTAAAGCAGGTAAGCAATCACATATGTAACTCATTTTTAGGGCTGTTTTTTGTGTATGTAGAGTGCACAGTCAAGCCACCGAGCCCGTACCATCAGCTTGTTTTTTGAGTAAAGCACTAATTTATCGCCAGCGAACCAATGGCAATGCGCCTTGCATGGGAATAATTATTAGCTTTGGAAGCTCAAATCCGTCACGTCAGGAGATCGACCCAGTCGTGGTCAACAGTGAAGTGAAGAAGAATATCACATAGGTGCATAAGAAAGCGATCAATTTGTACAGGGGGTGTCATAAACGGACGACTGCTCGAAGTATCGATATGTTAGACAGTTCTGAAAATAATTTTCTGATTCGTCATTATTTAGTTTGCTTTCGAAAACTACAGGAATTGATAGCGCTGAGCAATGAGACTTGTTCTCCAATCCTGGGCTCTCGCTTCCGGGACTGAAACAGGTAATCTTTATCGTTACAGCAAGAGTGAAAACGGTAGTCATAAGTTAACATAATAAATGGATAGTTTATATTTAGATAGTGCGGAACATGGACCGTAGGGTTAATTTGATCACCTCCGTAATTGAATCGTCAAGAAGGGTTTGCGTTCAATCCGATCCTAAGAAAAGTGTATCTCGAGTTGAGGTTTCAGTGGTTCAACCATACGGGGCAGCCGAGGTGTGTG